ACAAGAGAGACTTACTTCTTCGCTCTGATTCGGAATTGTAAAGCCCACTGTGAGAGATGTAATAACACTCATATAATTCTAGAGTAGCATATCAGGCTATTTTTGAATATATTAAGCCTTTATGCAGACCACAAAATCTACAATGGAAGATGTAGTTGAGTTTATATATTCTATTGGAAGAGCAGTATTATCTCAACTTTAGATTTATTTAAAGGGGTATTGAGCCGTACCTATGACCGAAGACAGCAAAACGCTTACATCTCGTAAGGCTCATAGATAACAGATCCGTTAAAAGGTCTGCGACGTTTCAGCGTTCAGTTTATTTAAGTATAGTATGTAATTTGTTGTTATATACAGTGAAAATCGCTTAACACAAAACTGAAAGAACTAGAATATTTTTTCGTGTTAAAAGAATTTCATGTTAAAAGGTATTACAAAAAAAAAACTTATATATGTACAAAATTAAATTTATTCGAGTTTATTTTATTTACATAGTTATATATATATATATATATATATATATATATACATATGCAAAAATTTAATAAAAATAAATAAAAAAAACACGTACAAGAATTTAAAGAAATTTATAATACAAAATTTTTTCAAATTTTTTTAAAAAACAAAACATTGCTGGAGTTTTTGGAAAATACTCTGATATTTTTTTTGCATTGTTTCTTTGCATCAAATTGTCAAAAAAATTTTCGATATCGTTCATTTTGTTATTCGTCACCATTGGAATGTGCATCAAAATAACTACGCACACTTTTCCTGACGTTCCTCATTTTGGATGACGTGGGAACACAGGAGCTGCATTATTATTTTCATTTTCATCGTTGGAATCTTCATCTTCATAAAAATCTTCTTCTTTTTTGAGCTTCGAAAAAATTCCAAAATGTCTTTGTCTGCCATAATCGGCGCTGTACACACATTATCATCTGCTGTAATGATTTCTTCCAATAATACAATAGGACAATCCAATCCGGCTGGTGTTTTTAGTATTTTGTTCATTTCCAGAAAGGAAACCTTTTCATGTTAAGCGATTTTCATTTCACGTTAAGAGAAAAAAATTATGAAAGCAGTTTGGACCGTTGTATTATTTCGTGTTAACCGATACTTCGTCTTAAGCGTTTTCGGGTTAAACATATTTTGCTGTATTAATTTTTTATTTAATGTATGATATATATATTATTGTGTGAAATTATGTTTGACTTTTCATGCTCTTTCGTGATTTTGGTATATCACATGTGGCGCATCTTGTGTGTGTGTGTATTGTTTCCCACCCTCACCAGGGGGCACTGTGATCTCCTCCAATTTCTGTAGATTTCTACTTGGCACCTGCGCGCCAGATCGGTGACTAAAATTGAGAACTTGCTCGCGTGGGCTTTGTATTATGCTTTTTATTCTTATATGTTTAACACGCAAATAATAAATTGAGAAATTGTTTTTAAAAAGTTGTTATGAAATTTGAAACAATTAAGTAATAATAAAATAACAGTAATGTTACTTATATATAATTACGTTGTTGTTACTTATACCACCTAATCACGACAGTAACATCAGATCAAGACCCACGAATTCATCGTGGCAAGTAGCTAGTTGTACGCCTGTCGTTAGCTATGGATTTGAGCATCATACAGTACGATTTAGCTCGGTTCCACCTCAATTTTCAGAGAAAACACCCTAGAGGTGGTCAGGGACATCCCACTTCTTTCCCCCTTCTACCAATCTCACGAGAAGACTTGTGGCTCGACGGCTATTTAGAGTATCCCGATGGAGTCAGGAACGTCTTAAGGCATGGGCTAACTGAACCCAGGCTTAGGGCCTCACCCTCGGTGGGGACCTCATTTCATTCTCCATTATGTCTTAGTAAGATCATGATTCTGGATAATTTTAATTGTCAAATATTATTCCCTTATATATTCAGGGAAAAACAGGGAATTTCAAATTGCATGTAAACAGGCAAAAGTGGTAAGACTGTATAATTATGTGATGGTCATTGTCCATATCGAGACCTAGGCCTAATAGCATAAACAATCATTCAACTCCTTTAATAAATATGCGGCCATCGGTCAAGCAGGTTTGTGCCTAGGTTTTTGAGATTGTGGGTCGTGTACATTTACTAGTTTCAAATTACCATTTGAATGAGTAGTTGATAATGCATGCTATATAATGTCTACTTTTAAAGATCTTAGGTAGGGCCTACTTTTGCATAAGGGCCCCAGGGCCTCAAAAAGTCTTAAGACGTCTCTGGATGCAGCAAAGGCACACTACACGTTTTCAAGTATCCATACCTTCTTTGGGATTCGAACCCTGGCCAAATGGCACAGGAGTCAGCGTCACTAACCAAGGCATATAAATACGTGGCTGCGTTTGCTAAATGGTTATGGTTACGAACTTGTGGATGTCATTGTTTATTTCGAGTACCGTTGCTACTAAAGACTCACCAGGTAAAGGACCCAGCGAACGTTAAATCGGCAAAAGCATGTTGGCGGGATGAGGAAGTTTGGTGATTTGGCCTCCTAGTTTTTCGATCATGATTCAGAATTACGATTGACCGCCGTCCATCGCCTTTGTGTTGCAACAAAATGCGAACTTAATGAACAATCAGTCAACCCTTATCATTACATATCTCCCCTAAATTTCTATGGTAGCTACGGATAATGCCGTTGACTTCTACAAAATCTTTTATAAGTGTATTAATAACAATATATGTTATATTTAAATTACTAGTAGTTGGATGATATTTATATTTGTCTTCTCTTTTATGTATTTCGTTCCAGGATGGAGAGCTGTCTAAAAAATTACTTGAAATTTCTTTTAAAAATGTCTCCAATGAAAAATTAAATACTTCAACCAAAGAAAACTCAAATTTCTTAAGTAAAATAATTTTAAAATGTTATCTTAATTGTATGTTAAATTAAAGGAAACACTGACAAGTAAATAAAATAAAATTCACTCGGAAAAAATGCTTTTAGCAAATTACGGAGTGAAAAAAAAATGAAAAAAAATGGAAGAAAAAAGAAGAGGAGAGAGATGGGGGGGGGGGAGCATTCAATGTTTTCTAAAAATATATCGGTGTTTACCGTAAGGCTCAAACATCTTTTAATCAAGTACAATTAAAAGCACATGAGAAAATTACTTTAAAAATACAAAATAGTTTTTGAAAAAAAAAACGATGCCAGAATTAAAGGAAATAATTTTTTATAAATGAGTGATGTAAAAACAAGTAATATAAAAAGTTTTTTTTAAGTCAATTCCTACTTAGGTCAACAGAGAGAAATTTTATTTTAGTTACTTTTTATTAAATAGTTAAAATTAATATAAATATGTACACTCATGTCCATAAATTAAGGATAATTCAGAATCACACAGATATTGAACTCTAAAATAAAAATTTCACCTGTAGAATTATCACACACATCTTGAAGAAGAATATGCAAATTACAGGAAACCACCAGATGGCGCGGATAGTACGTCACAATGACGAGAGTGTAAGAGAGGGATATATAAGGAATGGTGGCAAAGAAGTAAAATTGTTCACAAGTGCTTTAAAAGCCTTTCAGTGCAATAACCACATAGTTATGGCACAAAGGAAGCCTTTGGATGATTTTTTACGTGGTAGAATTATCGGACGACTGGAATGTGGACGTACCCAGCTGGAAGTAGCCGAGGAACTTGGAATCGCCCAGAGTGTCATCTCCAGGCTTTGGCAACGATTCCAAGATGATAGTAATGTGAGTAGATGTTACAGCACAGGTCGCCCCCGAGTTACAGCGCCGAATGAGGACCGGTATTTGGCAGTTACTGCCAAAAGAAACAGACGAAGCACAGCATCAGACCATTCTCGTCAGCTCTCTTCAGCTACCGGTACGACAGTTTCAATGCAGACCGTGTGCAGACGCTTAGGGCACATTGGTCTATATGCTTGTAGGCTTGTCAGATGTGTTCCCCTTACCGCAACTCACTGTCGCCAGCGATTAACCTGGAGTAGAGAGCATTGTGGACACCGCAACAGTGGTCTTGTGTGATGTTTTCCGACGAGTCCAGGTTTAGTTTGCAGTCTGATTCTCGCCGGACTTTCATATGGAGAGCCCCAGGTACCCGTTACCACCAAGAGAACACCATTGAACGACACCGTTACGGTGGTGCAGGATGGCTCGTTTGGGGAGGAATTATTCTTGGTTCCAGAACTGACCTGCATGTTCAGAGTGTAACGATGACAGGCCACATCTATAGGGATGTCATTCTGGAACAACATGTACGTTTGTTTCGGGGCGCCATGGGTGCTGAATTTCTGTTTATGGATGACAATGCCCTTCCTCACTGTGCAAACATTGTAGACGAATGCCTTCAATCGGAGGGTATCACCCGTATGGATTGGCCTGCATACTCACCGGACTTGAATCCAATAGAGCATGTGTGGGATATGCTCGGCCGACGAATTGCAGCCCGTCAACCCCCTCCCACCTGTCTACCGGAACTTCGGAGGGCATTGCTTGATGAGTGGTGTAATATTCCCCAAGATCAGATTGATAATTTGATACTCAGCATGCGTGGCGTTGTAAGGCCTGTATTGCATCGCCCGGGAGACATACTGCGTATTAACCATCATACTAACCATGTTATACTGTTTTTTGTCAATAGGTCCTTTTTTGAAATTTGCTCCAGCGAGTAAAAATCGCAATTTTTATTAATTATGTCAAACATATAGCATCTTTTTTGCTCTTTACCTTTTGTTTAATGAATAGACTTTACAAATAAGTCAAATTTGTTTTGCTTCTGTCTCTTTCTTTGCCTGAACTTCATTATCCTTAATTTATGGACATGAGTGTACATACATATGACAAATTACAATATTAAGTGACAAAACAGAAAGCGATTTTCCTCTCTATATACGGTGTTAGATTATTTTTTGTTACTAATTATTCATTAATTAAATTTAATTATTCCAATAAAATTGTATAGTTAAAAAGAAATCGCATTCTCAGAAATAAGGCTATCCCAGGAGGGATTAGAACCCACGACCTTTTGACTAGAAGTTTAAAGCGCTATTCATTGCGCTACAGGGATGCAACGAACCATTTTCCTTTCTATATATGCTGTTGGACTATTATTTTTGTTTGTTACTGTTTCTTCATTTTTTAATTTAATTAATGAATTAATACTTGAAAAAACTGTATTAGCATCAAGTGTCATCCACACTACAAGTTTTAAAAATGTATTTGAACTTAAATGGATGAATAGAATGTATTTTACTAACGATTGAAAATTTGAACAAGATATATATATATATATATATATATATATATATATATATATATATATATATATATATATATATAAATAAGCGAACTAAAGTAGGAATTGAAAAATGAGTTAAGTTTAAGCAAACACTCATTATCTTTAATTAAATCTTCAACATTTCAGGGAAGAATTATTTTGCAATAATAATTGCACACTTTTTTTTTTGATGGTCACGGTAGGAAAAAAATGGACACAGTTATTATAAATAAAAGGTAAGAAAGCATTAAGAAAAACATTAATTTTACTAATTTTTATTATAAAAATATGCATCCATTTTTAAAAAAAAATTCTCTTCTATAAATGTTATAATTTTACTTAAAGTAAAAGTAATAAAACTTTAACTTAAATTATCACTTTAAAAAAATTTAAATCTTAATTCCCAAAAAATTTACTATTTTCCTTCTTCACTTTAATTTTATCTTATAAAAAGTATCCGAGGCTTTTGATTTCATTTACAAATTGTACAACGTTTTACGGCAGAACTAAACGCGATGGTAACTCAAATAAATTTAAAATTTTAATCCTTGATGTGTGAACACAATAGAATCTTCGTTAAATAAAATTGCCTCCAATATAACAGTTTCACAAAATGACGACTTTCGAATTAATAGAAAAATTAATGAAAAATCAAAAAGACTAAAGAACTTATCAGAAAAGAGAGAAAATACTTTAGAAAGTATAGGAGAACAAAATAAAATTTAGATAAATTTACAAAATTTCTTATATTTTCAAAAAAGAAAAAAAAATCAATATTAATCGGCTTTTTTTTTTGATCAGTTAAACTAATTCGTAGTATTGCACATTTTCCTGTTTTAAATCATGAATATAATCCAATGGAAAGCATGTGGAATCAAAAACAAAAGCTCAGATATTCTATTCACGCCAATTTTTCAAAAAGCAAGCATTTTAATAATCCAAGAAACTTGGCTACATCCTCTAATGATAATTTCACAATTCCCAATAAGAATATATTCCGAATCGATAGAGAAATCAGAAGAGGAGGAGGATTAATGATAGTTTTAAACAAAGATATTAGCGCAGTAAAAATATTCTCAGAAATTAGCGAAGACTTATAAATTTTAATAGTCAAAGTTCAGATAGATACAGTTCCTATCACAATTTTTAAAATTTACATCCCACCGGGTAACTTTAAAGACGACAGTTTATCAAAAATAACATCTTATATAGATAATCATAGCTTAATACTGGGAGATTTCAACGCATCTCATGAAATATGGGGTTCAAAAAACTCAAATACGTCTGGGAGAAAATTTTTTGATTGGATTATCGAAAATGACTTAATTTTATTAAACGATAAAAGCCCAACTTATCTCCATTCATCGGGAATTTTAACATCTATAGATCTTTCATTATCATCTATAACTTTAAATTAGGATATGTCGTGGTCCACAAGTACCGATAATTTTGGAAGTGTGTGTGTGACCATTTCCCTATTATTATTAATTACAAAAGAACAAGCAGCTCAACAACAAATAATTTTAGACAAAAAACAAATTGGAACAAATTTATTAATCTTATCCAACAAAAGCTAAATTTAAATGAAAATATAAATATAGATATTATAGAAGAAATTAGAAAAGCCCAAATCTTATCTCAGGAATCAGAAATAAAACAGATCCATTCAAGAGCTCCATGGTGGACAGCAGCATGCGGGTATTTAAAAGCAAAAAAAAAAAAAAAAACTCCTAAAGAAAGCAAGAAAATACTTTAAAGAAGACTGGATAAAATATAAAGAAATAAGCAAAACTTAAGCGAACTATAAAAACCTGTAAAGAAAACTTTTGGCACAGGACATGTGAAAAAATCTCTTCTCCTAAAATTCTTTTTAAAATAATCCGGATAATCAAAAATAGAACAATTTCGAACTATTCTTCATTTAACATCATTGAGAATAATAGAATCATTCTAACAAACGAACACAATCCCAAGCAAATTGTTTTTTAAAATATTACGCAAAACAAAACAATAATAGTATCCAAAATATTTTTATTCCGGACAATAGCCAAGATATTAATAAACCGTTCTCTTTAAAAGAATTAAAAATAGCAATATCTCATAAAAAAAACAGCAGTCCAGGGCATGATAAAATTTCTCTCCAAACAATCAACCACCTCCCCATCAAAGCAATAAATCTTCTCCTGAAATCCTTTAATGACAGTTGGTCTTCTAGTTAAATTCCAAAAGACTCACGCAATTATTTTACTATTCCATAAAACCTCACAAAAATTCCAAGGAAATTGCGTCATATCGTTCAATTTCTCTAACCTCAATAATTGCCAAATTAATAGAAAGAATGATCTTACACAGAATGTTAGATTTCAGCTTTCAAAATAAAATTTTTCACGTAAATCATCATGGCTTTTACCCCCACAGAAGCAGTATTATTAATACGATTCTTCAACTACAACATGATATTATACTGGCTGGAGAACGTAAGGAATACTTTTTTCTAGTAGCATTAGATATTAAATCAGCATATGACTCAGTGTGGCCAACTAGTCTAGTTTCTAAATTAAAAAAAGTTGGATATTCAGGTAAATTGTTACGATGGGTTCAAAATTTCTTACATCAAAGAACAATTCAAATTAAATGGCGAAACAATTTTTCGAAAATCAGCAAAAACAATTATGGTGTACCTCAGGGTTGCATCTTGAGCCCTTTCCTATTTATGATTTATATGGCAGACATTTTTGAAATCCAACACGATAGCCATCTTCTGGTCTATGCACAGACGACATTTTCTTATATAATAGCGGCACAAATTGGAACAAAACAATAGACGAATTACAAGTATCTTTAAACAATACTTCAGCCTGGTGTAAAAAATGGAATTTGTCCACCTCTCTAGAAAAAAGCAGTTTAATCAACTTTTCCAGAAAAAGAAGTACAATATCTCCTATACTTAAAATATGTGATAAACCTATTCCCGAAGAAAAGTGTCTTAAAATCCTAGGTATAATCTTCGACCCCAATATCACTTGGAAAAATCATATTATTTACCTCCAACAGAAAAGTTTTAAATATTTAAATGCAATCAGAGCATTATAGTCCCCTAAAATAGGAACAAGAACTGATACTCTTTTAAATATTATTAATGCCACAATCCGTTTTATTTTTGACTATGGAAGTCAACTTTTTTCCTTTTCAAACAATAGCAATAGACAAAAACTAGAACCAATTTACAATGCTGCATTACGTTTAGCCCTAGGTCTCCCAAGAAACACTCCGATAGACGTATTAAGAGCGGAATCTATGAATGGCAGTATCAATAATCGACATAATTTCCTTTGTCAAAAATTTATTATTAAACAAATAGCATTAAAAGACTGGTCACCAAATGCAAGATTATTTTGGGATATAAATAATAATTTTTATAGATATAGAGAAAAAGAAATCAGTATTTTTCAAAAGTCAATCAACCTACTCCAAGAACTATGTATTTCTAAAGTAGATATTCTTCAGTGGACCCCTCCTCCTCCAATCTATGAAAATCACAAAATAAACATCTATACTCATGAAAACTGCATTTTCAAAACAGATATCTTCCAGATATCATAGTGCAAAATATGTTTAATGATTATATCCAGTCAAACTTTAATAACAGTATTATAATTGCAACAGATGGTTCTAAAAATACCAATCAAACATCAATAGGAATTTTAATCCCCAAGAAAAAAGTTAGACAAAATTACATACTGAAAGAAATGATTTCCATTTTTACAGCGGAAGCTATCGACATATGGACTGCGTTAAAAAATTGGGTTTCAGAAACAGAAAACAATGTCCTCCTGACGGACAGCTTATCAGTTCTAAAAAGTATCCTTAATATTAATAGAAAATCCAGTACGATAATATTAAATTTAAATTCAACATTACACGAGTGTCTCCAAATAGCTCAATCAATTACATTCATTTGGGTACCAGCTCACAAGGGAATAGAAATTAATGAAGAAGTAGATAAATTAGCTAAAGCCTCTCCAGATCCTTGGAATATTATTCCTTGGATTACTTGGGAAGATCTACACACTTTTTTCAAAAATCAAAACAAAGGCGGAAACGAAGAAATACGGAAAAAGAGCAAGAGACATACAAATTATAGCTATATTTCTCATCTTAAAAAATGGAAAAGACAGGCAGCAAAAAATAGAAATACAGAAGTTTTAATTAATAAGCTTGCGGGCAAAGAAATTACCATTAAATGATATTTATTTTCTTTTTAAACAAACAGATTCTCCATTGTGTTCAGATTGCCTTGTACCAGAAACTAGTGAACATTTTATATTAACCTGCAACAAATATCAATCGCAACGTAAAATATTGAAAATTTTTATCTCTAATCATAGTGAATGGTCTTATTCATCAATAGCAAATTGTGATACAATAGAGCATATTCAAAAAGTGGAAGAATTTTCAAAAACAACCAATAGATTCTAAAATACCAAGTAATAATTTCAAAATAGTCTAGTTTCACCAACCACAGTTGAAGCATAAATTAACAAAACTTACAGTTGTACAAAATAATCAAGACCTATCCTTGCATCCTATTTGAAGAATATAATGCAAATAATCTTTTCGGAGCATAAGGTGCTAGCCAGAGCTCCAGATGTACAGTGGTATCACTGTACTGAAAATAATTCTACCATTCGAAGTTTGGTTTTGGAGTTTGTTGTGTGATTGTGTTAACGGTATCTTGTAGTAGTGTTAGTAAAATAAATGATGCGTTGAGAAAAGTTGATGATGAGATT